TACATACCTCGTTCCTTTCCCTCGTGTTGTTATTATTTGTGTATGTTTTTTCGCTGATAATATGACAAAAGTAAACACACAGGACGCACTTAGACACAAAATGTTCCGCCAAAACTTGCTTCTTGGGATTATATATGTTCTTTATACCGTGAGATTGTGACGCTAGTGGTACTGTGGTTATTCACACTGACAAGTTTTTTTTTGTTTTTTTTTTTTGTTTTTTTACTGAAATATATGTTACAAGTGCCCACAATCTGAAATTTTAAATTGATGAGAATCGGGCTTAGGTAGACGTCGGCTCATAAAGACATGTTGTTTTTCTTTAGTATTTTTTTTTTAATCCAGGTAACGTCATGTGCTCAGTTCAAACACTTGCAGTTCCAAAGGAAAGGGAATAGACGAATATTCCGAGGACACCTAAGCACTTCTTATGACTGAGTTGTGAATGCGAAAGCATGAATGTCGTTCTTCCGCTCTCTTACTTCATCTACGGTGCAGTGGCGTGGACGGCAACGTTTCGCTACTGTCGAGGTTGCGGCCGGCGGCCGAGCGCGCACGCTCGTAAAACGGTCGCAGCCCCCCCCCCCCCCCCCCCCCCCCCCCTTTTCCGGCAACGCCTCACACGACAGCTGCGGTGGAGCGCGCGCCCTCGTGAAGCGGCCGCAGCCCCCCTCCCCTTTTCTGGCAACGCCTGACACGACAGTTGCGGTCGAGCGCGCGCTCTCGTGAAGCGGCCGCCAATGGCTACCTAGGAGCAGGGCTGCGGCAGTATCGCGATACAAATGTATCGCAATAGTAGAGAGTTTTAGTAGATCGTGTTTTCTGGTCACGCTATTCGTAGCGGGAGCTCGCGCGGCCGCTCTGATGCGTGCTCTGAAGCGCGCGCCCGTTGCGGTAGCGGGCCTTTGAAAACGATCTACTAAAACTCCCTAGTATCTTAGAGATACTTTCGAGTATCTGTATCTCTGTATCGAGATACATTTGAAAAAATGTATTTGTATCTCAGTAGTGAAATACATTTACAACGTATCGCTTATATCGCGATACTTTGCCTGACTTAGGTATCTCGTTACATTTGTCGCCGTTTTTTCGATAAAACTAAAAGATAAAAAAAAATTTGTCTGGTGCAAGTTGCTTCAGAATTTATAATATGAACCCGCTCTACAACACGATCCAGCTCATTCACCGACATAAACAAAAAACTTTGGTTTAAAAAAGGCTACGGTAAAGAATAACAAAATCAGTTCCTTTCACAAAGCCTTCCACTCTTTCCGATTTAGCAGAGCGAACGCTGTTAAAGAAGTTGAGTGGAGAAAAGTACGGCCCTGTTGTCCAATCTCCTCACACTATGGGTGACTCAGATGATATAAGACGACAATTTGAGATGCGCCCTCATGGCAAAACAGGGTTAATTTCGGGCAGACGTACAGCGTTAAAGACTGCGTACCATGTCAAGCATGGTACACAGTCTTTAACGTTCTGTAACGATGTGGTTCAACGGAGGTGACATGATTTTTTAGAGGCGTTAATATTAAATAAAGACTTCGAGGTAAGGGGTAATGCATAAAAGGACGCAAAAAGAGGGGCACAAGCAAAAATAATAATAATAAGAAGAAGAAGAAGAATTCGTTTATTTACATCTACATTGATGGTTGAGCTCGAGGACAAAAGCTGTGAAATACAGCTTGACAATGCCCTCGACCCCCTACATAGGCACAACAGCACTGAGGGGTACAGGGAAAAAAATGCTACTTCACGCGATACAAAACGGGTGGAAAATATACGCACACAACACACAAATAAAAAAGATTGAATAATCCTGGAAATATTAAACAAACCGCCAGATAACTTTTATTTTACCTATCTAGGCTTACTGAATATTCAATAATTTGCTTAAATGACATCCTAATGACATCCTCATTCGCCACGAACTACACCCTCACCACGTGGCACCATTTGGGAACATATGTATTTCTATAAGTATCTGTATCTGTATTCCGGAATACTTTTTCGCCGTTCTGCATAAGTATTTCAGGGATATCCCGTTGCATAAATGTCAAATGTATCTCAGTATCTGTATTTGGGCATTCAAACACATGTATCTCAGAATGTTTCTCCCCGAACACTTTTTGGAGAATCTCTGCCCAGCCCTGCCTAGGAGCCGTTTTGCTCGACCAATGGGAGAAAGTGTATTTTCGCGCTTATTTGCGGTTAGAGACGCCGCCGGCGCCGCTCCATGGGATTGTTAATATAGTTAATCCGTTCGCATTAAAAAGAGAAACATGAGGCTGCACGGATTTTTCTATGAAGTTAACATTGCAGCGATGCGATTGAAATGTCTTTTTTCGTCATTGGGAGTCGCGGAGCAGCCGCGTTAAATGTTATATCGGTCCCAACCCGTTTCGAAACAGCTGGACGCCTTTGCCGCGCTAGTCGATGTATGCCGCGCTGTTGGACGGAACGCTCGCTCCGTTTCTTAGCAGGTGTTCCGCAAAACGCTGAAAGGCGTTCGTTTGTGAAAACCGGACGACAATACATCGACGTCAATCGACGGAGTGACGGAAGCCTCCTATGCCTCGACGCGATATCGGATTTCGCCCCTTTCCTGTTGCTATCGGGCCGATTGTCAAAACAAACAATGGACGCTTTCCGTTTGCAAACATGACAGGTCATACGACTACCGAAGAAAGGGGCTCGCGTGTCTTAGGTTCGTATACCCCGCTTATCAAACTGGTGACCTCGCGAGGGAGTTCAATCTGACATTATTAAGTCCGAGTGGTGCCACTATTGCATCGTCATGGCACTTGTTTCTACGTTTGTTATCACCGGCTAAATCGATTACGCGAGGTGTGTGCAGCATGTTCCTGCGTTTTCTTTTTTCTTTTGTTTGCTGGCTCTAACGGGAACGTTTCGACGGACTGTTACCAAGAGTACACTCACCAAAGGTTAGCTTTGCTTCGTTTGTAACATCATATAGACCTTTGCGTCACTTATCACGCGGGAGAAAAATGTTGAGTCACTGAGCTGTGGACGCATGCGCCGCATGCTCATAAGGCGTTCCGCAGCCCAGTATAGACCAGTGTCTGCTCTGTTCCATGGGCGCCGCCATGTTCGTTTATGCTGACGTCATGACACAGAAGGGGGGCTGCGTTTTTTGAAAGGCTCAGTTTCTTTTAGAAACCTTTGCCCATATCGTATATTTCGCTTCAGCCTAGGTCCGAGCGCGGCCGATATTATGAGCCGAAGGGCCAATCAAACAGCGAAAAAGGCAAACGTCATGGTGTGCTCTCTGCAGTTGATAGGAATAGCCGGTATTCGCCGTCCCTCTGTGCGTGCTCCTCTGCCGGCTAGTCCCATCAAGCGCAGAGAGCACGCCATGACGTTGCGCTTTTTGCGCTGTTTGATTCGCCCTTCGGCTGATAACATCGTCCGCGCTCGGACATAAGGTGAAACGAAGTATAGTGCAAGAACGTAAGAAATGCACAGTCACGAAGCTCCAAGAACCGCTCCGACGCCAAGAGTGTTGTAAAAAGCAAAAATAGTGTTTTATGCGCAGCCCCCCCCCCCCCCCCCCCTCTTTACAAGAGCCTGCGTTTGAGATTATTATTTCCATTTTTATCGCTGGGGGCTAGGATATCGGACACTAGTCTATAGACAGAGGTGGCAGCGGTAAGAAGGCGATTTTTTCAAGGGTCTATACGTACACCCTGAAAACAAGCGTATAGTAAACAACAACACAACAAGAACACTTTGCCTTCTCCAAACTACGCACGCTGCTGCGTGAAATCCAAACTGGTATAGTTTGAACCTTTTGGTGTGTGTATTTTTGACCATCACTGGAAATGCCGGATTTGATGTGTGCTCGACACCAAAGAATCATAATCAAAACGACGCTAACGTGTGTATACGTTTTTCTATGGGCTATACAGCTGTGCCGAGACCTCGTAGAATCCTCGCACTTTTTGCGTCTGTTGAGATGAAAGCAGAGATCTGCTGATATCATAATTAAAATAAGAGGTATATTTAAATCGTGGGGGGTTGTATACCCCACACGCACGCACGCTCATACATGCGTGTCCTCGTAGAACCCTCGCAATTGTGGCGTCTGTTTAGATGAAAGCGCACATCTGAGGATGTCATAATACAAATAAGAGGTATACTCAAATTGTGAAGGGGCTGTATACCCTATACGCATGCTCATAAACATACGGGTCTGCGTACACGTCTCGCACAAGTTCAAACCGGTGTGACAGAATCTGTTGTCTCGTGCCGGTGCATGTATGAGGTGTGTCTTCGGACAATTCTGGCATATATGTCTGCAGTGAACACCATGGAGAGATGGATGCTAACGGCTGTACCCTTTTTAACGGGCGGTAGCTTGCGCCACCTATAGCCTAGTTATTTGTGTGTTGTATTAGCAGTGTCGCCGCGGCTTTAAACTCATGGTTCACGCTACCCAGGAGAAGAAGGTATCGTACTGTTTTACCACTCGATAAACCGCAGCAGGCGCGACGAGTCACCAGAGCCAATCCAATGTTCTGTGAGGATCACGTGACCTGCAGAAGGGGCGCAGCAACCTGTCGGAGTTGTCACGTGGTACGTTCACAGCGCTCGATTGGCTAGGATGGCGCGTGGGGGTTCACTGAGGAGTGGGCCCACGTATGCCCCGCGGAAAAAGAAAGTAAGATGATGCCGTCTGCACCTTATGCCGCTACCTCAGTGCCTGATTCGCAACAAACATTATACGGTGGCACTCTGCCCGGAGTTTTCACGACTCTGCGCCGCGGCCTTGGCTGATCAGCATAGTCTCGGAAGCTGCGTAAACTCGAGGTTCATGTCACGCCCCGTTGACTGCGCCCCGACGATGACGACGTCTTATACAGCGTGACATAGCGGTACAGACACGTGCGCACGCGCGCGGCATCGCGAATGCGCGGGCAATCTGCCATATATGTCGCCCCCCCCCCCCCCCCCCCCCCCCCCCCCCCTCCCCCTTTTTCGAGAAACGCCGGAGCGAGAGCTGTGCCCGCGTTTTGCGTCGTGCTCGTAAATCCTGCCCCCTCCAAGACACATGTGCGTCCTCCAAAGCCGCCTAGCTCGAGCGTTGGGCCGTGTTGACGGCACGCTTCGTCATCCGTCGGCGACGCGTCTCGGGAGACGGAACTCCTCGCCAAGTACTCTTCGCGCCGCTCCGTACGAACAGAAAGGTCGAAGGAGGTCAACCGGATGACGGCCCGTCAAACATAATCGGCACTGATTGTCTTCCTGTGGGAAAGGAGTTTGCTGGCGCAAATCTCACTTTCTTCTTTCGTCTGCAGCAGAAGACCGACTCATTGTCTCTTTTTTCCGGCTCAGGGCGACCGGCCAGGAGGCCATGGGGCCAGTGGCGGGTCGTCGCCTCTGCTGGACGCTGAGCCTCAACCTCGTGGCGTTCGGCGCTCACCTCTGCGCTTGCGGATGCTTCGTGTACCTGCCACCACTGCTACGAAGGGCCGAATTCTCTGAGCAGGCCCGAGCCGCCGTGCTAGGCCTAGGGCCGCTCCTCTGCGTCCTGGGTGTGCCACTGGTAGGCGCCTGGAGCGATGCCTGCACGAGTCGGCTGGGACGGCGTAGGCCTTTCCTCCTGGGCATCGGCGCCCTGCTAGCGCTGTCTCTTGCGGGCGTCGCCTACGGCGAGTCCCTACGCAACGTGATGGGAGCCAACGCCCACCGGGCCATCCTGGCGACGTCTACGGTACTCCTGGACTTCGCCTCACAAGCGCTGCTCAACCCGTGCCAAGCGCTCGTGTGCGACCTCGTGCCCGACGTGGACTTCGGCTTCGCCGTGTACTCGTTCGCGTTGTCGCTGGGCGGCGTGTTGGGCTACCTGCTCAGTGGGCTCGACTGGACCAACACGGCGCTCGGACAGGCGGGGCAGGAAAGGGCCGTGTTCCTGTTACTTCTCTCCGTGTTCACGGCCTGTCTCGCGCTGAACCTGCTGGTAGCGGGCGAGAAACCGGCCGCGAGGACTGACGAGTACGTTGTGCTCAGCCAGGCGAATGATCACGATGTGCTGGTCGAGTGCCCGATGGACCGTCTGTTGGTGGTTGGTGCGTGTGACGCGAATGGCGGACTGTGCTCGACGCCGGACGTTCCTGTGCGAAAGAAATCTCAAGAGAGTCCAGGCCGCCATCCGAATGGTCTGGTACAACATCTTCGCAAGACCCACTGGCACAAGATGAGCACCAAGGATGTGGTACGGACAGCTCTGTCGGCGGCTTTGCTGTTTGTGTGCAACGCCTTTTGCAATGTGTTTATCACCTTCCCGTCGTGGCTGGCGTCTTGCCTGCGTCTAGACGTCCTGACCAGTGTCCCAGGTCCGCTACGGACGTTGTTTGTGTTTCAACTTCTCGCCTGGATGGCCGTCATGTCCCATTACGTCTACTTCACGGACTTCGCAGGAGAGGTATGCCTTTTCTTGCGGGTTTGAAGTGATTGGTTAAGAGTGACGGTAACTAAGTTTGCGGTTATCGTGCGTGCAGGTCTTGTTCCACGGTAGGCCTGAGCAGACTGCCAGTCCTGCTGACAGACTCCTCTACGATCGAGGGGTGCGCGCTGGATCCTGGGGTCTCCTGGTGCACTGCGTCGCTTGTGAGTTTTGGAACCATGAAATTTGTTTTGTACCTTGAAAACGCCTATGCAAACATAGTACTTCTGAGAAACTGTGCTCGAGCGTTCTGATATTTACCTGCATGGCGTAACTGTGATAAGAATTATTTTACCTTCTGGAAAGGTAGATGCACCTTTTTGATGCATTCTGCGAGGCTGACTGGAACAGGGATTTCCCTAGACCCCCCTAGGGGGGGTTAGGACCCCCCCTCGTTTTTCCGAAGGCACCCCCTTAATTCACAACGACTCCTATATTCGCAATGCCCCCCCCCCCCCTTTTCACCCCCCCCAAAAACATTTAGACACTCCCCCCCTGATTTCTATTCCTGGGGAAACCCCTGGACTGGAAGCAGATGAAATCTACTAGTCAAAAACGTAGCCTCGCCTTTAGGTCGATTCCAGTGCAAATTCTAAACGATAATGTAAGAAGAAAAAAACAGTGAGTGCGCAGGCGAGCTGGTGGAAGTTGATCATGACGTAGAATACCCGAGACTGTGGTAAAAGCTGGGAAACTTGGTCGAAGAAAAAAGAAAGGGGAAAAGAACGTCAAGACGTTCTACGTTCTTTTCCCGTCTTTTGAGTCGTTCTTTTTCCCTGTCCTTTTTCTTCGACCAAGTTTCCCAGCTTTTACGAGTCTGGGGTATTCTACATCATGATCAATATAAGACCGGAGGAGTTTGCAAACGTCATTCCCACCACCGTCAAAATGTCTGGCTTTAAAGCATTTGTGACTGCACATGCAGACTCGAGAATTACGTGATGTCACGAAAAAGCATTCGTAAGATTGTGACCGAATCTTGTAACCTCCGGAAAAGGCGCATGCAGTCAGCTACTGCCACATCGTCCATATTTCGTTTGATGGCAGCTCCTGGTAGTGTGATTTATGGTCAAAAAGGGGGGTTGGGGAAAGGAGTGATTTCGCCCTGTTCTGAACTCCCAGCCCTTTGTCAGTAGCATGCCTAAACTATAGCGCTTTGCCGTTTTGTGCCTGCAGCGTCGGTGTATTCGCTGTGCTTCCAATGGCGGCTCACGGCACGATTCGGGCAGCGTGTCGGCTTGTACACGGCCATGGGCAGCTTCGCGCTTGCCCTGCCCGGTCTGCTGCTCTTCACCAACGTCGGGGCGCTGCTCACGCTCAGCGCCGTCACGGGACTGGCGTCTGCGGCGCTCGACTCCATCCCGTATGTCCTGGCCTGCTTCTACTGCGCCAACAAGCAGGTGGGTGCTCCCAAGTCGTCTCTTCCCGTCGTTTATCAAAACTGTCAACTCACTGCTGGGGACGCACGCGCGGCGTCTGATATTACGCGGAAAACAGCAACTGCGCATGCTCAGAACGCGTTCCACAGCCCAGAGACAAAAATGGCAGTGCGCAGAAGGCGATTACTCCAAAACGGGGTCTTTTATTGAAAGGGACTCTCGTCGACTCCGACCCCGAGGTATACTAAACAAGAATGGCGGCTGTCGACATATGAATCGCAAGACATAAAAACGTAACTAGATCACAGTCGGAGATTTGACAATATGGTGGGAACAAAGAAACATTGTCAATTGAGGTAACGAATGTTTCCACATATACATGGTGTTTTTTAGGCTTTACAAATGTTTTAAAAAAATCCGTGAAATCTACACTAATCTAGTCTGTGCGGGTGAGTTACTTTTACGGCCAGAGGGGCATGGGGAGCAAATTGGCACGGTAAATCAAATAAATAACTACAATTGGTTAATTAACTTTTTGTACCGTGAAGATAAACATGGTTCCAATCAGAAACTTGCTGCAGCGAAAACCACCTAATAGGTTACTTTTAGAAAGACTGAGCGGATGTGAAGCACAGTAGTGCGCTAAAGTTCTCACTCGTGCAACAAGCACAAGGCTAGCGGCGAGAAAACGCGGATAAGACACTACGCGGGCGCGTTATCGTGCCGGTAGTAAGTTGAGCTTGCTCCTGCTGCATGAGTGGTAACTTTAGCGCTCCACCGTGCTTCCCACGTGCTCCACGTCTTCCTCTCGATGAGGCTCCAGTTTCTAATCGGAACCGTATGTTTGTCTTCACTAATTAAACAGTTAGTTAACACATTTTAGTTAATTAGCAGACTTATATTGATGATTCGCATCCTATATTACGCCCCCCCTTGCCGTATAACTCATCTGCAGAAGCCGCATTCGTATAGCTATAACGGTTTTTTCTTTTTTTAAACAGATCTGTAACTTTTAAAATTGTGCTGCATATCCTGGGCTCCAAAAGGGGGGCCACGAGAGTTCCACGTCGGTTTCGCAGCTCGGGTCCAAGTAGGGCGAACCTAAGCAGCCCACCTGGGCTGCCCTCGTGAACCCTCAGAAGGTCTATTTGGGCAGCCCACTTGGGCCCTCCTCGTGGGGCCCACAGGGGGCGTCCGTGGCAGCCCACATGGGCCCTCCTTGTGGGGCCCAGAGCGGGCCTACGTGGGCATCCCGCATGTGGTCCCTCCGGGAACCTAATTTTTTTTCCGGGTAAGGGTATTTCAGTGCATCCCGAATTGAACATGCCTCACTTTTCCCATGTGCCTGTTATTACCATATTGATAGATAAATAAAACGTCTTGAGCAATACCATGAAATATTGGTCAGTTTAAGTGTACAAAATGAAACAAAAAACTGCACGTTTTCATACACAATCCTGTTGGACAGGTAAAGTCCTGTTGAACAGTGCCGCATGCTCACAAACTTGTTCTTTTCTGGCATGTTGGTGACTTTTCAGCGTAAAAAAGTTGCTGGCAATATGATGTATCTGTCGTGTCTGGATTCAGTGTTTGATGTCGGTTGTCCCTTCAGTATGAACGAGGTCCCAAGCAAACCATTATATCTCTATTTTTTAATCTCGATTTGGTTTAGCCAGTGAATTATAAAGACATACAACCGCAAACTCCTATCCCGTACCGCGTACAAACGTACACTAGATATCAGAGTCGCTCATTCGACGACGTGAAGCAGAAGATTCAAGTTTAAGGTTAGAAGTTCATTTATTTCTCTTTACTGGAGGGACAGAGAAAAAAAGAAAAGCAGAACGAAACTGCCTGACACGATACGGAAAACCGTTGGCGAGTGACCGGTTAGTTTGCTCGTTGATTTGGTTCAGGAGAGATTACCTTTTCTGGGCACCACAGAGCGATTATTTTGTGTTTTCGGTGTCCCTAACGTTTCTAGTTAAAAGGTCCACGTCTTCGCTCTAACAGGTAGCGGCATTCTTTCAGCTCCGACTTCCGTGGCGACGCAGGTTCCAGAGAAAAAAAAATAGCCACGTATAGCCGCTAATTTTTTTTCTTCTTTACAAATACTGCAGGTCTTACACGGGCCCAAAGAGGAGAGATAGCACACACAACAAATACAATAGTAATACAAACAGGAAGACACAGGAACACAACGCGTACGTATATAAGTTTGGCTAATACAATTTCTGATACGACATAAACAACAGTTTGTAACCGGGATTATAGATATGCGCACATAAACAACAGAAAGTGAAGTTAGGGGCCAGACTGCCTCTTAGAGAAAAACACGATAAACTTTAAACTTCGGAAAATAAAAAATGAAATCAACAAAAGCAGCCAGAGCAAATAGGGTGTAATGTGATGACAGTGCTGGTTTGAAAGACACGACAGAAAAGTGATCTCAGTTTCTAAGGCCTCGTTTGGTTTATTCCAATCTTTGATGGTTCCAGAGAAAAAATTTAAGGCGAGTGAATGACGATGCCTTGTCGAGCGCGTGTCAAGTTGTGAGATATAACTTAAAACCGAGCTACTTTTCGTCGTTGAGTAAGAGTGGGAAGGTTGGACAGCCGTAACATGTTTGTTGTGAAATCGAGTCTGTTAAACCGTCTGTAAATAAACCTCGGTGCTAAGTTTTGTATCTTGTCGAGATGTCCTATATCTGCCTCGGTGTGGGGATCCCATACTATGCTAGCATATTCTATCGCGAGTTGGACGACTGTCAAATAAGCAAGTTTTCTTAGTTCATTTGGTGCCTCGTAGAGTTTTATTTTTAGTAGGCCAAGCTTTCGGCGAGTGTTTAAACATATGTTATCGATATATACTTGGACCACCTTTATACTTAATGTTACTCCTAAGTATTTATATTCGGACACTTCATTGATTAGCACTTCTTCGGCAATATATTTAAATTTTAGAGGGTGTTTCTTATTTGTGATACAAAGATGAACAGTTTTGTCATAATTTATTAACATCTTCCATTGCTCGCACCAACTGGCCAAACGATTAAGTGTATTGTTCAGAACTTCTTGATCTATGGTAGACTAGAAGACGTCTTCTCTTTTTTCGCAAAATGTGCTTTGTCATTTGCGTTGGCTGTCGTTACTTAAAAAAAAAAAAAAACTCCACAACATTAAAGAGGTGATGCAACGATATTCAGCTGTGTTCTTCACTCAGCTTTAAAAAAAAAAAAAGAAAATTGGGTTCTGTGTATGTTTAAACAACCTATAGAACTTGGTCTGCCTCAACGGGTGATGAGTCTCCCAGCTGCAGATGACATATTTAGCCAGTGCAGTTCAATCGCTAGCCTGGGGTTTTTAACGTGCATCACGCAGCAGTGATGCACGACCGTACATCGGTACGATGCTCATCCAGATCGAAACGGGCAGGCGTTGGGATTGAACTCAGGGTCCTGGGTTCTGTGCCTCGGGCGAGTGTTCCGCCGCCATTCGCTGCTTCCAAGACCCGCGCGATGCACGGACCTCGTCCACTGGCGGGCGCGTTTGGCACTACTTGCGAGACAAACAGAAACACATCAAGGGGCTTTAGGTATCTCCATGGGTGCGTTCGAGATTTGTCGGAAGAAGACGTCGCTTTGAGAAAGAAGAGCTCCTCTCTGACCATTCAATGCGTACAGTTCATATTTCTCGACCGAGCTATTGAAACGGTCAAGCCTCCGCGTCTTTTCGTATGTGCCCTGCGGACGCCACAGAAGAAAAGAAAAAAAGAGTCTTTTAGCAGTCTCGTGGAAAAGAAATTCACTGCTTTAGTCCGGGAACGACAAGTGCATACGCTAGAGCTTTCACAGCAAGCAGGTCGTTTCTTTGCATCTTTCTTTGGGTGCGAGGAAACCGACCGGTCAGGCTCTTATACCCGTGAAAAGCGTATCACGCGGGCGACGTTCCGCTCAACAGCTGGCAGTTCAGATTAATCACGCTCGCTATAATACGCAGAATACAGGCTGCGGCTGAGTGACAAAGGGCCACATACTCGTGTATTAGAACTATACGGTGATATAGGACGTCTCCAACTATACTCTCGTTGGTTTATTACACCTTTAGTCGCGTCCCCACCATTTGCGGCTGCCCACTCTAGAGCCGAGGGTCACACTGCTTGTATACATCATACGAAAGAGACGGCCTGCATACAGACTCGAACGCAAGTCGCCGCGAGATCCGTGCTTCGAATGCCGCCTTGCCATGAGTTCAAGGAGGAAACTTGGCACGCGGCATTCGAACCGCACATATTGCGGTGACTAGTGTCTGCATACTGTCTTTTTCTCGACGTATGAGTGCAACCCCGACTTAAGGCCGCGGTCCCTCTACTGCAAATACATCATACTGTCTGCGGGCACCGTCTCTGAGACATGTTTCCTCCTTGTCCAACAAGTGTACAACCTGTGTGACCGTCCTGCCACACTGGTTGCACACAAACTTCCTGCAGACATGTTCGAAGGGCATGCATGTGCATACGAAGCAAACATGCTTTGAGGCGTGTCCGCTGAAAATGATGTCTTCATGCCTGCAGCAAACATGTATGTTCTTCGTATGATGTGCGAGCATGCAGTGTGACTGAGGCCTAAGAAATCTGGATTTATCAAGCCGAGGAAGCTAAAAACATGCCGTTAAGGAACATAGGGGGCAAGATCGCTTCTCCCTTTATGAAGGAACATATAGACCCTTTTACTTTGACGAATGTAGGCTGGTTCCTGGCTGCTTCAATTTGCACCCCGTAAATCGCGTAGAAATCATAGCGCCAGTTGAACATAGCGTACGTTAACATACATCTATAGGCTTGCGTCGCAAGCACGCGGTGACGCCAAGACAGAGCCGTGTATTGGGAGAGTTTGGCCAATAGGCGGAGCAAAGGCTGCCGCCAGCGCCGAATATTCCCCCCACGCTTAGAGCGTAAACTAAATTTGTGACACAGCGTCGACCAATCAGGAAACCGCGACGTCAGAATATTGCAAACGACATTTAAAGCGTGAAATAGAAGCGTTCAATCCCGACCTCTCTACTCCATCTCACAATTGTCGGCAGTGAAGACAAAGGTACAGGCGCGTGAGCCTAGCTCAGCAAAACGCTTTTGTTTGTACGAGAGACCGTGCATAGGAGGCACTTTCCAAAGCCACGCGCTCGTGCCCATGCCTTTGTCTGCACTGCTGATGTTTGTTCGCTCTGAGCCGGCTTGCTAGAACAGCGTCCCGAGACTGGCTGAAAGAAGACAGGGCAAAGGGTGGGGCGCGCGAGCGTCTTGAGACGCGGAGTCCCGCTCGGCTCGTTCGCTGGCTATGGCAGTGCTTTCTTTCCCCGTCTCAGCTGAGACGCTGTTTCTAGCAAGCCGGCCCTGGTTTGGAGCACGCGTTCATTTATTCTACACTTGAATATTGGCGTGACTAAAACGTCACATGCACAAAGTTTTCAGTCACCGAGAGTTAAACCGTATCACTCTAGCGACGCTAAAACGGCTTAAATTAGTCGTGTCACAAATCTAGAGCTCACGACCACCGCTAGGGGCTGTTTCGAGGACTGTGGTTGGCCCCGAGACGCTCGCCTATTCAAACTAATGTATGGCCAAACTCTCTCAATAAACGGCTCTGCGCCAAGATGGACGTGCCTGCCGCCTTGTGGCGATTCTTCTCGAGCTTCAGAGCGTCTGCCGCTCGGGACGGATCGGGGCTCCACTAACGACGACGTCATGAGCAGGCCTTGTCTTCTAGGTTTTATTGCGCCAGTAACCACCCGTGTTCTCCGCATGCGATTCTACGTCAAACGTCAGGATCGCGACAACCCGTACCACTGCATAGAGAGCTTATACCGCTAGTGCTACATTTGATAGGTGAATAAGCGTTCGGCAAAACATAGTTTATTTTTGCGCCAAAAAATTTTTTATTGAGGTTACTTATATATATATATAAATAGTAACCTCAATAAAAACATTTTTGGCGCAAAAATAAACTATGTTTTGCATAAGTTACCTCAATAAAAATATTTTTGGCGCAAAAATAAACTATGTTTTGCCGAACGCTTATATATATATATACACACACACACGCACACGCAGACTTTTTGGCGTATACAATGGGCTTCTTATTCTGAACTAGACGTTTTAATATTTTCTCTGGCGCACAACAATCATGTCCTGGCCTTTTTCTTTTTTTTTTTTTTACTTTTTTTTATACTTCCAGGATTACTTCCAGGGAGCCAAGCACCAACCTGGCGTAGGTCAGTGCCTGGCGGTGCTGGACACTGCCGAGTACCTGGCGCAAGTGCTGCTCTCGATGTTCATGGGCTACACCATTTATGCCACGGGCACTGTGGCATCGTACGTCTGCGTCTCTACGCTTTGTGCAGTGGCCGCCTGCTACGCCTGCTCGCGTGTGGCGTGCCCCCCACGAACGAAAAATGTGGGGCTATACCCGTGACCAAGTCCAGGACTGCCTAGTGGACATACTCAATTTTGGACAATAGTAGTTCACGTATCTGTCCTTTGTGGAATTTTAAGTACAGGGACTCAAACACTCCGCAGTGGTGCTTCAAGAGGCAAGCCTCAAGGATGCTACGTCAAGAGTGTTAACTCGAGGTAGCACGTTTGAGCGAGGGTGTTAGCTTCAATGGTCATGCCCATGGCTCACGCAATCACTGTGTTGCCCAAAGAGTGATACTACTGCAAGAATGGTGCCGCGATTCACTGCTTCATAGCGATCCTCCATCAATGATGCCCCAAGAAGGATGCTGTTTCAAATTGGTTCGGCAGCTAAGGCCATGCAGTAGGTGTGTTAGCTTAGCACCACAGAAATGGCTGCACAACGGTGACTGCAGAAAAGTGATGCTCCATGCGCTATGCTCCAGACAAGATACCCCTGACGTGATGCACCAGACGTGATGCCCCAAAGGTCATGTCCCAGAGGTCATAACCCAGAGGTCATAACCCAGAGGTCATGACCCAGAGGTCATGCCACTGAGGTGATATCCCGGAAGTGATATCCCGGAAGTGATATCCCGGAAGTGATATCTCGGGGAAGAAGCGATGTCCCAGAAGCGATGTCCCAGAAGCGATGTCCCAGAAGCGATGTCCCAGAAGCGATGTCCCAGAAGCGATGTCCCAGAAGCGATGTTCCAGAAGCGATGTTCCAGAAGCGATGTTCCAGAAAGCGATGTTCCAGAAAGCGATGTTCTAGAAAGCGATGTTCTAGAAAGCGATGTTCTAGAAAGCGATGTTCTAGAAAGCGATGTTCTAGAAAGCGATGTTCCAGAAAGCGATGTTCCAGAAAGCGACGTTCCAGAAAGCGACGTTCCAGAAAGCGACGTTCCAGAAAGCGACGTTCCAGAAAGCGACGTTCCAGAAAGCGACGTTCCAGAAAGCGACGTTCCAGAAAGCGACGTTCCAGAAAGCGACGTTCCAGAAAGCGACGTTCCAGAAAGCGACGTTCCAGAAAGCGACGTTCCAGAAAGCGACGTTCCAGAAAGCGACGTTCCAGAAAGCGACGTTCCAGAAAGCGATGTTCCAGAAAGCGATGTCCCAGAAAGCGATGTCCCAGAAAGCGATGTCCCAGAAAGCGATGTCCCAGAAAGCGATGTCCCAGAAAGCGATGTCCCAGAAAGCGATGTCCCAAAAGCGATGTCCCAGAGCCGATGTTTCAACTGTACTTGGCAGCTGGGCTTGTAAAATATATGCGACTACGGTGCGGTGTCCCTGCGAAAATTTGAATCACTAGCGGAAATATGGGAGAACAGTACCGTGAAATAGGATGCTTCTTAATCTGCGAAAGAACGTAAAGCTAGCTGTCCTGATTGCCCCCGAAGCAACAGTTGTAACTAGACGCTCTGGCTTAAAACCCTCAGGCTGGGGTTGGAGGCAAAACAACGAGCAGAGCAAACAAAATATCAGACGCCTTCTTTTATTCCACTCCATTCAACGTCGTCCTTCCACCCTGGTCTCAGGATGCATGCCACAATCCTCACGTTAATTTTGAAACCACAGAAGCGTCTGGATGCAAAAATAATTTGGAACGACGGGGTATTCGGAAGTCGTTGAAATTTCTCTAGCCGGCGCCCTACTGTCGTCCCCGAGGTGCAACCGTACAGTGCAATCATTCGGTAACTTGCGTATTTCTTTTTGTAATTTCTCTTCCCTATGGGATAATAATACTGGGCTAATATAATTATTGCAAAGTGGAGGACGAAAGGTGTCCTGGGATCCGGCAGACACGCTTGGCTGTGCCTTGCATGTCCGAGCACTGTCGAGTGAAGAGGATTCGCGCTACGTTCCATCTCGCCCTAAAGCAAAGGCTACAAGGCCCCGAAGCAACATTGTAACTAGACGCTCTGGCTAAAAACCCTGAGGCTGGGGTTGGGGACAAAACAACAAGCAGAGTAAACTCTTTGCAAACACAAATATAGGGCATTGCAAGTTGACAACCTCAGTGCTGCTTTTGTGTGTTCTAGCTCGTTCCTAAGCGATGCGGACGTGTGCCATGTTCGCGCATGATGTGGTATAAAATTGTGGGATGCCTTTCGGCGCCTATAGAGCCACCCGATAATACCAGAAAGCACAGATTACTTACAGGCAGAGCGCACTCATCTCGATACTCCAATTGCTGATGATTCATGGCTGATGGCTCACACGGTGCCCAGAGTGCGCGATATGAATAAGTTTAGAACAGTGCCAACTGAATCAATCGTGATGCTGCCGCACAGAACCAATTCACGTCGGGCACGAGGAGCTGACACACGAGAAGATTCGGCTGTCTTCGAAATTTCCTGAAAGCCGCGAAAAATGGCCGTCTCTATAGTGCCAAATACAGTCCCCCACATAGCTCTAGTCCGCTCGGCTTTTCTCAATTGCAACTTCAGGTAGAATCTTCGCAATCTTCGACAATGGGTTGCCTCCTGTGCCTCCATGAATCTTTTGTTAATAGCTTTTTATGTTGCTTCAAGTGTCGACTGTGATTAAGAAATATAATTATATTCATCTCTTATTTCTGTCTCTCTGGATGGTGTTGAAGTTTTTACCAATGTGCACTTCAAGAAACACAAATAAGCCCCTGCAAAAAAAAAAAGAAAAAAAGTGTGGACATATGATGTGACGCTTTGGTCGATTTATTTGAAATGAGCTGCCGAACACGGTACCACACAACGCATTCGCGCAGTATGATCACGGTGGCAATGACTGGTGGTAGCCGGACAGAAGTGTCATCATCATCACTAGTCAGAATTGAAAGAAATATAAAAAAATATATATATTCCATACCAATCAAGCGCAGGCATGCACCGCACCGTACCGCGAACTTGCAGCTTTAGACTGCGCGTTTGTGTTTTTCTTTCTTTTAGCTTTAAATTTGCGTGTTCAGCGGTGTCGGTTGCTCCGCCATTGTGCAGTGGTTCGGACCTTCTATACTGCGTTTATAGTAGGATGACCAGATCTCCCGTTTTGGCCGGGCCAGTCGTGTTTTAAAGGTGCACCTCCTTCATCCCGCCATTCCTTCTCAATGAAGCCTCGCGTCCCGATTTCGTGGGAACGTGAGTGCGTACATTCAAAACGACTACTGAGCGAGTGGAAGAAATCGAAAAGAATACATAACACATTTCATTAAATGAAACCTACTGTAAAAGTCACCTCCAATAGAGTAAATTCGGTGTTATTTGTGTTGCTCTACCTGCGAATACGTTCTGTTCGTGTAGACGTTCGTTCGGGGCACTTTTCTATATTACTATATTCGGCATGCTTCGATTTTGTTTAAAAATAATGATGAGATGTGCGTGTGCACTTAACTAAACGAAGAACTTTACGAAGGTGTGCATTTGTACAATGTTGTGATTAGTAGTAAAGCTCGCTTTTTTCCCTCTTTAATACATAATCTTTATTTTATAATTCACTTGATTGCAAAATGTTAGATGAGCGTAAAGCTGAACATAAATATCTAAGGAGGCAAACTTGTGCCTACAAACTAAAACAGGACGTATCGAGAATCTGGCGTCTGCGATGGAACACTGATCTTATGCACGCGGTACGTTCGGGAATGTTCCGATCCGTTCTCTGTTGTCACACACGATAACAACCGAGAACGGGCTGGAACTTTCCAGAAGGGCAAAGGTTGAATAATGGAAGTGTAGACCTTTCCAAAGGGGTCTTCTATATCCCGTTAACCTTTAATTAAGCTGAGACTCTACGGTGGGAGCTGCACGTGCCCGCTGAACCAATTATCCACCCCCCTCTTATCACCTGACCCGGCTCTCCGCCCGTGGGTATATGGCCGGAAGCGTGATGACGTAGCGAAAGAAAGGCGTATGACTGGTCCAACGAGGACGTAGCTTCCGCCGCGATCTCCATTCGTGCGTATTGCGCATGCTTTGCTCGCTTTGCGAAGCGACGAACGTGCGCGCGCTGGGCTGTGGATTTGTAAACTAAAGTCAGTGGATCTATGGTGGCTGGAAGTGGAAGTTTGAAGGGCGGGAGCAAAGGGTTGCACAGAGTTGCGTTAAAAACGACTCGCCTGCAGACTGCTGCGCCCCTAGTGGTGGCGAAAGTATTCATCGCAAACACGCGCGGCGGGCCTCGCGTGTGTTGAAAGGTCGCATAGCTTCTTTGAATTTTGACTCGAATTTCTGCAACTACATGAATTGCGCACGTTTCACCCGTTAAATGGGTAGTGAGCCTGAATTCCGCGGTGAAAACTCCGCGAAGAAATGTTTTGGGGACCGCTAGGGCCACTGCAGCTAGCAGGTGACAAACATCTTTGAGAGGTCCTACATTACAGAGATTTTCCAACTTCTCGATCGGGATCATGTGGTGTATGGGCCGCGTTTGCAATAAGAGCTGCGAGGAGGTGACGAACGCTTCGTTCGTCTGCTAGCGTTTCAGCCATTCCGCCTGCTTTCATCCTCGCCACACGAAAACGCAGCGTTTGCGCGCTTGCGACCAATCTTGGCCGGTGGCGTCCGCCTTTAAATTGCAAAGGCACCCAATGGTTTCAGATGGGCCCTCTCTACAATCTAGGCTCTCTCCAAATTTGCATCGCGTATCGCGCCCCTCCTTATCATTGCGCCCATACGACGCCCGTCACTCTTCCCCTTCCAGCCACCATAGTGAATCCTAAGAATGTTAATGTAGCTCCATTGCCTTCTCTGCCTGCTAGCCGGGCATAAACATATACCGTATTTGCCAAGCTATACTCCGCAGACTATACATGTTTAATAGTTGAAAATTTAGGCTGTGCGGACAGTCTACGCGTGCGGACTATACAGGACTTTTGTTTTTCAATATCGTTCATTAGGACCACTTTTGTAATTCCCCGGTGCCATCTTTCCAAAAGATACGTGTGGGGTCAAACAAGCCTTGCACGCGTTGGACCTCACTATATGCGCGCTTACATGGAAGGTGTCGGCCGGCTCCGGGCGAGAACCTGCCGATGAGAACGAGAAGATAGGCAACCGATCTCGGCGGTGACGAGGGCAGATCTGAGGCGAGCGCCTCGAGCAGATTTATTTATCATATTTTTGGTGACCGAATCATGTCTTGCCGCCACGCGGCCCGTGGTTTTCTAGAACACGTGACACGTGCAATCGGCGCAATGTAGGTGGTGCCATCTCTGAATGAAAGACATCGCTAAACATAATCACTACATTCTCCTCCCCTTATAGAAAAGAAACGTAAAAGGGAAATGACATATTTACAGATTCATAGTAACAAAAATACCGGCACATAGTATATAAAAAAATTAATTTTTTTTAGAGCGTATATGAATAATTCATCAATCTCCCATCCATAAAAAAACACCAGTGCAGCAGCAACACAGACAATTCCAACTATTCAAAAACGACACACTTAATAAATTGTCTATGATGCACTAGACAAAAAAAAAAAGAAAAAAAAAAGGCATTGTTGCTACATTAAGCTGGGTACAACACTGTTCAGTTCAGGCACAACCTCGCGGAAAGTCCCATGACAGTGCAAAACAGTTCAGTTCGTAAGAGGTGACATTTAAAAAAATCAGAAAAAGTCGCTTTAGTTCATTGCAC